CTAGATATTTTATATGGATAGGAGAGGGAGAAAACAGTTAGCTCTATACTTGAACAGGTTAAGATTGTAGTGATTGGAGAAACATCCTCTTGGGAGTCTGTTCCACAGGGCAGGGTTCACAGGAAGAAACTGTTTGAGTGGAACTTACTTCTCGCCAATGGAATATGGAAGGAATGTGGGTTGTTTGCTATTATGTAAGTGGCATGATGGGTCCAAGCCATGAGGTTAGACCTGACGGAACCAAAGAATGTAGTTCATGCAAGCACTTTCCATAGAAGCAGCGACAGAGCAGTGAAAGACTCGCCATATCCCACCTGTAAGAGGGTTAAAATAATTCTTCTCCATCAAGGACTTAGATGCTTTTAAACTCTATCAAGACTGGAAAGTGAAGACTGGGCAGCTCCTGCCCAAATATGACAGTCCTTCATTTTCAGCCTGATCTGGCTCTTGTGTATAGATCTTTTTCAAATATTTTGACAAATGTATTGTGCAAAATTTCTGACTAATGTATTGTGGTTTTAACTAGAAAACCCCAACACTGTAACCAACTTATAGTGTCACTGTCACCATGTTAAAATTACATTTTAACAAATTAAAGGAAAAAAATGATGTTTTACTACATTACTAAACCACTTTTATTTTTATATATTTGAATAAGTATTTTTTTGTATACCAATGTTTTAGGGATTTTAAAAAGATGCTTTTTTTTTAAATTTTTATTTATTTATTTTTATAAGCTGAAAACTTTTTTTCAAGCATTCCAATTCCAAACTTGCTTTTGTTTTTTTTTCCCTTTCTCTCTCTCTATCCCTCCCCTCTTCTTTTCCTCCTATGTCTTGCTTCTTTCCATCTTTATTGTTGTTGTTTTTCCAGTATCTCCCCCTCCTCCTCAATTTCTTGATGCACATTGGAGGTCACATGCCTCTACATTAATAAGACTCACAAAAATGTGAAGGGAATAGAAATGTGGGGAGGGGGGGGCGAGCCGAGAGAAAATCACGCAAAGGGATCTATAATCAGACATGCCATTGAATCAAGAAATGTACTGACACAATGTATCCGGGTCTAATTTATTTAATACCTGCAACAAACAGTCTCCATTCCCAGCAAATATACTTCATTTTTGTGCATGCTTTTTTTAAACAAAACAAAAAAAAAATAGTGCCAATTTTGTTAGTTATATGACCATGTTGATATTGAAATACCTCAAAATTAAGTTTTTATTGTGGAAATTATAGTCTGAAAATATAGGAGTTAAACTTGAGACTCCATTGTCCAACTTGTGAGAAATTTCATATCTAGGAATTTTAAATAAAAATGTGGTTTTTAATTTTGGAGGGTAATTTTCCAAATCTTTAAAACTGAAATGAAAGGGACTATTTAGATTTTCTTCTCTTACTCCAAATTCAAAAGAACAGTTACTTCACTTTAATCTTCTAGTCTCAAGGGTCAAAAGCTAGATTCTCTACTCATTAAACTAAAGCTAATCAATAATAATTATTCACACTTTCTTTCAATATACATTGTAGTTTTCAATAATTACTAAAAAAAAAAAAAAAAAAAGAAATTAAATACTGATCAGAAGAAGCAGTTATTGATAATCCTAGAAGCTCTTTTAATCCCAGTAAGTAATTCATGTAAGCTCCCCACTCCCGACTCAATCACACACACACACACATACTTTTTCGCAGCTGGGTAGAGAATCATAGCTAATGATCACAAGAGGTGGCCTGTTGTTATCCCCTTTACCCTCCCATCCAATACTAACTCACCTCTGTTGTTGCTATAGCAACAACCCACCACCTTTCTCTGCCATCACAACAGCTCTATAGCCCTCCCATGTACTTGGTGACCCTAACAACACATCAAAGTGTCCGACTCTGGGAGCCACAATGCTAGGGTGGAAAGGTAAGGGCTGGAGTGTAGCAGGGCAATCCAAGACAGAGTGAGAGCATAAACCAATAAGAGAAAGAAACAATAAAAATGAGAAAAAATGTAAAAAGAAATAACAAACGGTTTTAAGCATAGAATGAAAGAGAAATAAACGAAACTGTCCAATCCCACAATTCATTGCAGAGGTAATCAACAGCAGTGAAAGCATTAGGATATCAATACATACATATATGCACAAAAAGTGAACCAGTATTACTGTCAATCAATGGACATATGTATTGATGTAGACGCACAAACATCTTGCTTTGCTGAGAATTGTTTTAATTTTCTTTTTTTTTAAATACCATGACACTTTTCTTTATCTGTGCATTGTGATGACTTTTTGGGAAAGATACTGGAATGGTTCCCTATTGCCGTCTTCAGAGGAATTGAAATTCAGAAACTAATTTGAATTGACTGGAAGTAGTTTTTGTTTTGAAATTGATGAAATTGTTGATTTTAATGTGATTTATAGCCATTTTTTATCACGATGAAATTCTCTTTATTAAAAAAAATCTTCCAAAGACAAAATATACTTTTCTGAAACTTTATTTAAGAAAGATTTGCTGATTTAAAGTTTAATCAATTTAACTTGAAACAAATATTACTTTTTAATTTAAAATATCATCACAGAACATCATTTTTTAACATGAACGTGGGTGTTTTTATATGCTGACACATTTATTGACAGCCTAATGTTTGAGAAATTTAATTTTTTCTAAATAATAAAAAAGCTGAATGATACATTAGTCATCAAAATCTAAATGCCTGTCACCATTAATTGATGATTTCTCTGTCCACACTGTTTATATCTACAAACACTCTGTCCCTGTTACTGATATTTAAAACTCTTTCCTCATAAATATATCAAATTTTAAACAATATGTTCTAAATTTATGTCCAGAGTCATATAACATATCTCCTTTCCTCACAAAACTACTGCTGATACAATGTGGCAGAATTTGAAAACAATGATATCCATTTTGTACAAGGCCCAAGAGCCACCAGAGGTAGAGTTACAGATTAAGAGGCACAGTTTTGAGGGATATGTAGAGAAGATAACAGTTAATCCTGAAGTTGAACAGTTTAAGATTGTAGGGATCTGGAAAGCATCCTCTTAGGAGTCAGTACCATAAAGAATACAAAGGGAATGATAGTGGTTCCATACAATGTGCATGGTATGGCAGGTCTTCACCATGAGGTTTAGAACTGATGGAACTATAGAATGTAGTTTGAACACTTTACATGGAAATAGCAATAGAGCAGCAAGAGGCTTGCAATGTTTTTGTCTGTGGAAAAGAGACTGCAAGGTGGAAAATAATTCCATCATTAGGTGTCAAAATTCCAATTTAAAGCCAAGCTTTATCTGTATCTTTCAATGCAATCTGTAATCACAATTTGTTGTATTTCTCTCCCCATTCCCACTGCTTTTTTTGTATAAGACCAATTCCATCAATAAAATTTATTAGTTTGAAGAAGTTCCTTCTTGGAACAAAATGTATTGCTAAAAGGTTTACCATTTTGTCATTCTAGAAGATTAAATAAATGCTATCAACATTAAATGATGATTTCTCTGTCCACAATTTGAAGTGAGTGGCTTAGCATAATAAAACTACTATTTTCAAGTCTGTTCACTTTCAGTCCAACATTTTCATAAACTATAAAAGTGCTACTATAGTATGATATCCATCATCCATTTTCTACTATGATATTTACCAACTTTTGGAAGTATGAAATATGCTAAAAACCCTAATCCCAACTTGACTCTTAAACAGGATACCGCTTCATCTTTAATTGAGATTATTTTATCTACTTCCTTTGTGAATACAAATTAGATAAATACCCCACTGTTTAGGTTAAAATAACACCGTATGTAGTTTGAGGAATTAATTGATGTAGATTGTAAGTCGGCTGTTTGGTAGAGTGCATCATCATTTACAGTAGGTCGCAAATGCCTTGGTAGGTATCATACTATAATAGCCCCCTATAAAATCTTTTCAGTATTGACCATTGCAGGAGTTTTACCTGAACAGTTTGTAACAAGACCTGCTTTATAAAAGTAAATAACCAATTTCTTTAAGTAAAACTTTTAATTCCCATAACAGAAAAAAAAATATTTATAAAATATAAAGCAAATATCTTTAATATTGGTAATGGTGAGATTAGCTGTTTCCTTATAAGGAAACATTCATTGACTGTACAGTTAACATTATTGTCAGTTGTTAAAATTATAAACTGTTTCTCTTCAGTTTTTCAGAAAAATAAACTTCTCAAGTTCACTGTTATCCAGTGATGTGCAGAGGTTTGGTAATGCTCAGGGTCAACTCCTTAATTGTATGCCCCCCCACCCCAAGACTCGGGGGGGGGCTATAGGGTTTAGTACTGAGAAATGTGAGAAAAGAAGACATTTTAAATATGTAAAAACAGATGGAACATGAAATAAACACTTTATTCAAATTAAATATAAACTATATTTTTATTTCACTTTTTGATTGGATGCCCTCCCAATTATGGATGCCTGGGGCCATTACACCCTCTACCCCCACTTCTGCACACTATTGTTGTTATAACTCTTTTTAGTATTGATGGGAGTTTCCTGCCTAACTTTTTGTTTAATCTAGTGGAGAAAGTAAACATGCTGATTATGTCACTATTTTCTCTTTTAGTTATACATGCTACCCACTTTAGTTGTTGTTATTGCAAGTTTTCAAGTGATGTGGTTTTCAATAAAAGAGAAAATGTATTTGTATAACTGTTCAAATTTCTTTGCGGTAGTCAATCCCTATATACAAAGTCCACAGCTGCAATTTACTTTTAAATATTTGTGATGAATTGATATAAAAATCAACTCGGTTAGCCATTCTGTGCCTGTATATATTCTAAAATTACAAAACATGTAGATTACACTATATTTTGTCTTCATATTTTCCTTGTTATTGAAAACTGCAAAAAAAAAGAAAGACAAAACAGAATTATACCTGACAGAATTCTCTTGTTTTCTCACAACTTGGAAAACTTTTACATAATGACCAGTTTTTCACTTCAGCAATGTTTTCTTCTACTTACAGATGTACAGAGCGTAAATATGATACCAACAAATTTCACAAACGTGTTGCATCATTCCCGTTTGATGATCATTGTCCTCCTGAGGTGGAGCTGATCCGGTCATTTTGTTCAGATTTGGATCAATGGCTCTCAAAGGATGAACAGAATGTTGGGGCCATACATTGTAAAGCTGGAAAGGTAAGGTTTTTCTCTGAGAATTGTTTCTCCTTCCTCTTCTCTATGCAATTCCCTGAAAAGACATAGATGATCATGGCTCTCCACAACTTCTTGTCTCTTATTGCTATAATTAACCATTTGCCATCTCTCTTTACCATTGTTCTGCCATCCTTTCATACAAACTCATTAACTAGATCACTTGCTGTTTCCCTCTGCTTCTATATGCTTTGTGAGTATTAAATTCTTCTGGCCCTCTTTCCTCATTATGTGTCTCAGTTATTTCACCTCTCTTTCTGATTGTAAGTATTGATTTCCTTGTAGTTTCTATTTTTATCTTTTTCCTCTGCTTGTTTCAAATTTCAAAAATGCTAGTAATAAAAATAAAAGGATTCTTCCCAGGATCAGCAGAGTATATATATATATATATATATTGCCAGCAAAAGAGGTATTAAGGTAATGACATCATCATGGGCCAAATTTATTATTATTGGATTTGATTTTGAACATCAAAAATTCTTCAGCTCTAATTTAATAAGGAAGGATTGAAAATTTTGATTCAAAGTAAAGAAATCATCATGCATTTTGTGAAATGCACGTATTTGGGCAACAATCCCTTTTTTATACAAGTTTCACTGAAGACAACTAACAAGACACTGTGATTAGGCATTTTATTAAATTTTTCTTGCTTTCATACAAGTTATTTCTTTTCTGGATATAGTGTGTAAAAACTGTCCAAATGATTCGAAGATCCAAGAACTGTCAACTAATCTAATAGTAGCCATTACAAAGAATGTCTTTTTGGTTTAACTGAATATTCTATTTCTTTTTTTATGATTCTTAATTTCTGAACATGGTCAGCACATTGTGGCCATGTTCATAATTGCTATTGAGGTTATAGAGAGTTGGCTTCTTTTTTATTATTAATGTTGCCAAGTGGTTCTGACCATGAAATTCAGGTTCAAATCTCACCAGAGTTAATTTGCCAAGGAGGTGACTTCTTGACAATATGGACCTGAGGAGACAATCTGAGTGTGTGACATCAGTAGAGAAGTGCCTGAAAAACCAAACTGTGGCTTTACCCAAGTCTTGGGAGTAAAACTGAATAGACAAAAACTGTTCAGAAGACATGTGGTAATATAAAGTAACAGGTCATCGTGACAGAGGGTTTGAGCATATTGGCCTTGATCACACTGTTGCAAATTATGCATGCTTTCTCAAAAACTGGAACTACAGTCCACTCAACATAGTTGCAGAAAAGATTATTGTCTCTGTGGATGTGGAACAATCCAAATATGCCTGAGAAGGTGTCTGCAACAGGGATTAGCTAGCCACCCTGATAGACAGTTATACTCTGAATGTAACAGCCAGCCATACATATAATTATATTTCTTCAGGATATATTTATCTCAGCAATATATCATGTGATTTTCAGATTGTAATATCTTTTATTAAAAATATTAATAATTTGTTTTGGCAGTGTCAAATTTTATTATACAAACAATAAGTGAAAAACACATACTTATAAAATATAGTCTGTTGGGGTAAGAGCTAGTTACTCTCCTTATTGATCCATTCATGATAAGTAGTCTTAGGTAATTGTCTATGAGGAAGAAGATAATACTATTACTGTGACTTGTCTCGCTGAGTATTGAATACTATCATGACTGATTCGGTTGTATGAAAAAGTATATGGTGTTTAGCATTAGAAAGGTGTTACCATCCATCCATCAAGATTACGTTCCTTTCTTTCAAAAAGTGTTCAATTGCCAATCTGATTCTAAATACATTAGATTACACTTCACAAAGGTTGGATAATAGAATTAAACATGTTCCATCACATGTTTGATGACACAACCTTTTGGTTACTTCTCATTGGTCTATACAAATGTCAAACTCTGCAATTGGACAGTATTTACTTGATAATTCTGCTTGTGCAGAGACCTGTATAAATGACTGTTTTGAGATCCTAAGCATGGCTCACTCAGCAAGTTTCGGAATCTATTTATATCTTTGTTCAACAATCTTTATTGTGCAGACAAAAGGTGTTTGTTTTTGCTTCATCTTTTTGATGAAAGGATAAACTTTTTGTCTGCTCAACATCTGATGCTTTTCTAATCATTATTGAATGATAATATTTAGATTCTTCTATTTTAAGAAGTTTTTGTTTTTTTAAGTTTTTTTTAAAAACATTATTAGAAAACACTTCAATCTCAAAAAGACATCATTTTGTTTTTGTGCTGTTTGTTGCAGCAATTTTTCGCATTCATTATGTCTTATGTGTTTATTTTAATCTTAATTGATCTGCTGATCGTTCTTTTGGTGACAGTGTACTGAAGAAAACAGTGAGATAGGTCAAAGTCCTTTTGTTTCTTATGGGGAGGAAAAATATGCCTCGCAACTGGATGAGGTCAACAAGATAGAAATCAGCTTCTTTGTCGCTGAGTGAATCAAATGCTGTAAGCAATTTCATTACTCCACCAATGGCAAAACATAATTATCTATTTTTAGCTCTCAATTGTGTTTCTGTCTTCAGACAAATCCCAAAAAATAAATGAGGGATGCCTGGTCCTGAGGATTCCAGCCCTGCAGCAGCACCTCCCTCATTGCACTAAACAATGAGGGTTGGTGTAATATTTTTTACCTTGGTCATGTGCATGCACTGGGGTTTCCTCACTTTAAACTGGCCTTCTGCCAGATCCCGCCACCATATGTGAGTAAATACTAATAGTAACTGATGCAAGGTTGCAATTGAGTGAGTTTTTTAGAGAAATTAATTTTGTCTTTTTACAATCATACTAAAGAAGTGGCTTCTAGCAAATGAACTCACTTTTTGTGCAATTTTAGTATTTATATACTACTCAACATCCATTTAAACATATTTGATTAACACAGTGCGCCATATATTTGAATAAATAATTTTACACTGGCTGCTTGATTTTCTGTAATCTTCATTCGTCTTTCATTCATTAATTTTTGTTACCATTTTATTGTTTCAAATTTAACATCCTGAAAATTTTACAAGCATTAATACCAATTTTATTGTGAAAACATTGACTTGCATAATAAAATTTGGTTTTTGTGTCATTTCCTTTATCAAGTGACAAAGCACTACTTATATTGACTGGTCACCTTGTTTTTAAAAAAACAGAATCATTTTGGGCATAATCATTTTTGTAGATTAGCATTCATTAGATAATATTCCTCAAGGCACAACATTTGTCAGAATCCCAATATATATATATATATATATATATATATATGTGTGTGTTATTTATTATATGTGATTAAAACAAAAAAAATTGTTAAAAATCACTGCACAAATAGTTTTCATGTTTCAGTACTCAAACTAAATGCTACAGAGGAATTATACTCCATTTGTTCTTATCCCATATCTGGAGAGATATATATATATATTTATATTTATAGGCAGGAACATTTCTCTCAAACATCTTTCATTAAATAACATAGACAAGGAAAATTTAATTTTTATTTAGTTTTTCCAGAGTTCTTACATTTTTTCAATTTGATAGCATAAGGAGAGCTATATATATATATATATATATATATATATATATATATATATATATATATATATATATATACACACACACACATATATATATATATATATATATATATATATATATATATATATATATATATATATATATTAAGAAATGGACAAAGGTCTGACAATTTATTTATTAAAGACATTTTTTATGTTTAACGTTATTTATAGATACAAGTATTTAAGCAAATGCTCTGTTTATGATAAACAGTATTAAATAACATTTACCGGCCTGAATGTCCGAGAAATTTTCATAGATTATGTCAAAGAACGAATATTTTCTATGAAAATTTCTCAGACATTCAGGCCGGTAAATGTTATTTAATACTGTTTATCATAAACAGAGCATTTGCTTAAATACTTGTATCTATAAATAACGACGTTAAACATAAAAATGTCTTTAATAAATAAATATATATATATATATATATATATATATATATATATATATATATATATATATATATATATACGCACTAGCTTAAAAGCTAGCTCCTACAGAGGACACTTGATTGGGCCTTCGTCACAATAGAGTAGGGATAAGTAGATGCAATAGGCAGAAATAAATTACAGAACTTAAAAGTTACCGTTGCATTTAAGTATTGCATTAATATTTAGGCTTACCTTTTAAAAGTACAACGATAATTCTTCTGCCACCATTTAATTTAAAAACAATTTGATGTATGTAGGTCCTTACTTTCTGTACAAACAATTATTTTTATTTCATGGGTGACTATGGCTGGATTTCGCAATTAATTTTGATTATTCCCAAATTTATTTCCAAGCTATAAAAATTGTTATCGTACAAAAAATTTTGTCGCAAAATTCACCAAAAGCAATCACAATAATGAAAACGTGAGGATCCAAAATTTCAGGATTGTGGGTCCAGACCCGGCCCAGAATATTTTTAATTTTCTCATGTAGTCAACCTGATTCCAAAATGGTATATGTTGGTCTACACCCTTAAGACTAAAGTTGAAAAAGTGTGACACAGTGACACTCACATTTATCATATATATGAAGAAAAGTAAGAATAAGGAAAATATTACTGTAAACTGGTGAATTAAAAATTATGAAAAAAAACAAAAAGCTAACTGGTTATTGCTCCTCGCTCTTTGTTGTGGAGTATTTTCACAGTGGAGGCTTGTATTTCTAATAAGTCATACAAAACGTTAGGAACTTGGAATACAATAGTCAATGACGCAGCAAATCTAGTTGTGATGGTTGGTACTTCAAATGTCCGAATCTCGACTGACGTTCTCAACACCGTTCTGCCAGACTTGCCACTGCTACTCCTACTTATTATCTATGGGAGAGTCCATTACCAAAGAATAGGTACTATGGCACAACACTCTTCAACTAAGGAGAAAACATAAATGTATGCACAATGACTAATAAACGATGAAACATAACAAACTTGCTATCATTGGTTTAGAAACTGTTCAACACTAAGTAGACAAAGCTACTACTATATCTGTAAAAAAAAAAATTGAGAATAAACACAACTGCCAAATGCTGGACAGTCTTCAGGTGTATTTTAGTATAGCTCTCAAGTTGTTTTATTTATGAAATACAAACCTAGAAGTGTCTATAAACATTTAATCCAATGGATAGGTAGCATAGTAAGTCTTTCTTCCCATACCAACATTTAGAAAGTAATTAATACTTTTTAGTCAATAGACTGTCTGGTTGGGGTAAATTCTAAAATGCCTAAATTTTCTTCCACACCTAATCAACCTCTTTCAGATAATGTTTTGCATGCAGATGCTTTCTTTAAGAGTCTCCGTATTCACAGAAAACTGTACGAATTTAATTCCACCAAATGTTTGTCCTTGGCTTACCTACTGATTTGTTTTATATATATATATATATATATATATATATATATATATATATATATATATATATATGAATTTAAACCAAAAAGCATCTTTGGAAATTTCACAAAAATCTCCTAGGTGGCAACAAAGCACAAAATGACAAATAATAGGAAAGAAAATAGCATTTTTGTGCAGATTACTTTTAAGGAAAATAATTTCAGGGATAATTAAAAAATGAATTTAAACTTAAATGTTTAGATAAAAATTAAAATTCTTTTAACACTGACTTGGAAAGTAACATCATAAATATTGATATCACCATTTTAGGAAGAGTGCTATTAATTAAAATAATTGTACTGTACACTTCTCTTTGAAACAAACACAGTTTAAATTTGGGAATTTTTAAAGTATCCACAGTGTTTAATAATAAACTAAGGGAAATAACTACAATTGGAATTCAGATAAGTTATTTCCCATATCCATTAAACAAAGTTCATTTCCTCACCTACGTTTCATACGTGTGTGTGTGTTTAGGTAAGTAAAACATGAGTATGCACTTGTATCAAATAGTCTTTGCATAAATAAGCTATTTTGACTACAGAAAAAATATATAAATCTGTATATCAGACTACTAATGTGTATTGAAATGACAAAATGGGAAACTTCTTACATTATATGTTTTTTTCTAGAAAGGAGATCTTCAGACTAATGCTTAACATGAAGTCATCTGTTATATTTATTTCTCAACAAACAAATAAAATTAGCCTTATCAAAATTTAGAAAAAAAATGATGCCAGACCCCTCCCTGAAGCAAACAAAAAATAAACACGCCATTAACTTATTTTATCATAACCAAATGCACTCTAATTATAATACAGGATGAAAAAACATAATTCACTGGTACATATTACACAATGATCCTAATAAACACTTAAGATTTATCATTTACTATAAAGAGTTTAAAGCATCTAACTTAATTTTTGCCAACAACACCGAGCCTCATAAATCCACCCCCCACTTTTGTAAAAATAATATTGTCTATGAATTCTCATGTCCCCCCATGGAGATTGCATCTCTAACAGTAATAATCAAAAAATCACACATATGCTGCACACACTCACAGATTTACCTGTCACCTGTCAAAACTCTATGCAAATCCATATACATATCAACCAGCACATCATGAATGATCAAAAAATAACTATCAACATAAGACAGATATTAGTAGACAACATCCAAATATTCTACAGCACCCAACTAGCAGGATAACCCATCTTTGACCAAGTGTTTCATTACTGGGAATATGTGTCGTTCAGTTGGAGCAGTTTAAGTTTAAAGTCAGCCCACCCAAAAATTAATATTAGTAACAACAATTGAGTACAACTGAGGCACATCTCCAAAATTGGGATTTGGGGAGGGGCGAAAAGGCCATTTTTGTGTTCTCAATCTTGCAAGGAAGGAACCTCTTCCATGGACCTTCATAATAATATACGATAATTTTTATTTATTTTTTATAATTCTAATGATCTTTTGCATTAGATTTCAACTCTCTCAATTGATTGTATGCCATTTTTTACAGACATTAAATTTTGCCTTTTGATTTTTGTGCAAAGTGTAAAACTCAGTTTTTTCGATTTTTCATCTTAAAGGTTGTACTTTTTTCCAGCCAATTTGAACTCAAAACCGGCACTGAAGAATTATCTTTCACAAAAAAAAAAATTATCAAAATCAGTTGAAAATTGTGGAAACATAAACAATACACACACACTTTGAGAATTACAGATATAGATGCAAAGAAAGACTAAAAACCATAGAAGCTCTTAATATACAACATTAAAAGCCCACATTAAATATTATTCACCACAGGAGATGGTATCTTGAAGCGCATATGATAGAATTAATGTGTATATATTTTTTTATATATAAAAAATATTATAAGGTTTTTGGTTCTCAATGTTTTTTTTGTCATTTTTTATTCATATTAATTTAATTCTTTGTTTTTAAAATTCATACAACAAAAAAATGTGAAAGTGTTATAATAGCCAAATTATTTCTTCTATGCTTTTGCTTTTTTAGGGTCGGACTGGAGTAATGATCTGTTCCTACCTTTTACATAGACACAAATTTAGCAGTGCTGTGAAAGCTTTGGATTTCTACGGAGACACTCGCACTTGTGATAAGAAGGTAAGTTTATAAGTAATTGTTTGTTTCTTTTTTTTGTTTTTTTATAGCAGAAACTCCTATCATCTTTAAGGAAGCTTCTGTTATACTCGGGGGATTTTCCAAACAAACTTTTCCGAGTAGAGAAAATTAACTGCCCAATTTGGCCAATACATGTTGCCTCATTCAAGTTGATATCTCTTAGAACAAGATTATAAAATAGATATATAAATGTTTTTATTGGCTCTTAATAGAAACAAATATTTTCTTTATATTAGAATTGCAAACTGAATTTCATCTTTTAATATTTTGTAGTTGCTATTTTTATAGCAACTCAGGCAGTGAGTGATGTGAATCAGAAGTAATAAGCTCTCAATGAAGCTCAAAATTTTATCTATTTTGCTTCAGGGAAGCCTATTTGAACATGCCAACTGCTGTAAATAACTGAATCATGAGAATGTGACAACATTCAGGAGATCAGATCTAACATTTAAACTCCTCACTCATTCTGCAATCATTCCTGATACCATATTTGTTTATATTTTTACACTAGTAGTAGCAGTAGTTTTAGTTTTTTTTTTTTTTTTTTTCATTAGGTGAAGCAATGTCCACCATTTTTATTCTTAATATTGCCATGTCCTTTCAGAATATAGGCAATTGAGACTCTTGACAGATTCTTTTGATTACTTGGGAATTACCATGTATTCTTGGAGAAGGTTGCTTTCTCCATGATTTGGAATTAAGAGTTTACTCTCTCTTAGTCTGATTGCTACCCCAAGTCTAGTGAGCCTAGTATACCTTACTATATATCTCTCTTTGGGTAGGTGGGGGGATGGTAGAAGATAATCATCCCTTTATAAGAGTATTTGGACAAAAGTGAATGCAAAAGACTAGCCTGGAATTTGAACTCTACTCATTGATTACGCTTTCTCTGCTGATATGCGTAACACCACCCACACTTCCCATTAATATTTACTTACATTTTTATGATTGCTTTTTGTTACACTCTACTCAGGTTGTCAAAGTATTATTGTAACCATCATTTTACATTTACTGACATTACATAAGAGGGATCTTCCAAAAGTAATGCCTCTTACTTATTTCCACTGAAACTACAACAAATACAATGACACCATTGGATGGAGCAAGTTTTCAGCTGCAAAAGCACACTTTTTCTACATTTTGCCAATGAGAGACAAGAGATCTTCCTTTCTGTGGATTGACAGCTGTGCAGGATTACTTGAACATGGTTTGTCAGACACATTACTCTACTGAAATGTATTATCCACAACCTGACTGTGCTCACATCCACTAGTTGATTTCCATAAATGTTCAGTAAGTACCAGTAAATATCAATGGATTCAATTTTTCTGTACAATGTAATTCAATTATGCACTTCTGCTTTGTACGCAGTTTTATTTCAAACATTTTTTTTGCCGGTTTACACTATTTACTTTGTTCAGACTATTGTCTTCATCTTATTGCCATATTTACAATGTTTTGGCTGTTCTATTCTCCAGCTGTCTTCAGGTAATATACATTGGAATTTCTAACTGAACCCTTTATTTCATTCACCAGGGTAAGCTATTCTATTCTAGTTCTACATACTATGCCTTTTCTGGATATCTCAGTTTTTGTTCATCTCTGCTGTGGTCAGGTATTGAACTCACAACTCTTTGGGTCAAGTCACTGGATTACTTCAACCAACGCTTTTATCCACTGGGCCATGTGTCTTTGGGGACAATAGCTGAAACGTTGTGAATATGACAATAAAGATGAGGATAATAGTTCGAACAATGTAAATAGTTGCAATACCTCATCTCAGGAATATAGGCAGGCTTTTTGCCTGATTGCTATCTATAATAAAACAAAATGAAATATGGGTTATTAACAGGAAGGTTCAGCCTCTATTGCCATGGTGCAAACATCATAAAATATGAGGCATTACTTTTGCAGCTATCTTGATATATTAAAAGTATCCTTCAAACTAAAATAAATTATAGACTCTGTGTCTAGTGTGCCATGTTGTTTCAAGATGTGAATGATTGGCTCTCCACAATCTCTTCTCTTTTGTTGCTTGAAGTAGCTTCTGTATCTTTACCCCCCCCCCTACACACACATACACCGTCTCTTTGTCTACGCAGTCCATATTTTGCTTTTTATTCACTCACTCATTAAATAGATTATTTGCTATTTCTCTTGCCTTCAGTATGCCTTGTGAGTATTAAATTCTCTAAGCTTTCTTTCTTTATTATTTTGTGTTCTGTGTTTTCAATCAAGTCCATTTTCTCTTGTGTGTGCTTACAGGGTGTAACCATTCCCAGCCAGAGGAGATATGTAAAATACTATGAATATTTGCTGAAAAACAACCTTGTTTACAAACCTGTTATGCTGCTCTTACGGAACATCCGATTTGAAACTGTACCCATGTTTACTAATGGGTCCTGTTGTGAGTACTTATTGTATGTAACTAGATTACCAAGGTTGCCAAAGAAGTCATATTGAAGTAAATTTGAAGTTGCGCTGATTATATTTTCTGCATGAGTGATCTAATATTTATAAAATTCTCATTGTATATAAGAAAGAATTTTACTTTTTAAATCATTAATAGTAAAATGACCAAAAAAAATCTGACATGAAAAAAAAGCATTAGCTGAATACTGACCATGTGATAAAGATTATAAAAAAATTTCTTAAACTGCCTAAGTGGTCTGTTTGTGTTATGAAAATAGGTAACTTTAAGGATGTTCAAAAATGAATCAATTTTCAAACAGTAATACTGACATTAAATATTGTTATTGCATAGAAATCTATTATGTTGTAACTGGGCACTGGCCTTGTTCAAACTTTGAATTGCTGAAATTGCTGGATGGTGATTTGGATGAACTACTAATTGGTTAATAATTATTAAAATTCTCAGGAGTGTAGGTTAAATGGTCGAGGAAAAAAATGAAAAAAAAGCAACAAGTTAAGAATTATGTTTTAAACAATAAAATTAATTAAAAAACAGTTCTAGAAAGACTCAAACTAAACTAACAAAGATTTTTTTTTTAAATTTAACAAAATCAAGGTTTCTCACCCTATCCACTTGCCACTAACATGAATAATGTGTTGTCTGAATTTTTGAGTCCTGAGAAATTTGGGATTTTGTTTATAGTCATATCCATCCAAAAACATGTATATTCTTACAGAAAAGAGTGACCCAAATTCTTTTAAATGAAGGCATTTGGGTTATGCCTAAGTCCCAAACTTAGGGTTTGTTTATATTGAGGCTGTCTACCCAAAACACCATCTTTTCAAAAGAAAGGACAGAAAATTCTAAAACAAAGAGCATGCCATGTAGTTATTAACAGATTCTGTGAGATTAAGACAGTTGAGATGAAGAAATGACATATATCAATGACAAATTTTAACCTGGATCATCTATATAAAAGAAGGCCCCAAGGAGACACAGGGGAAAATTGAGCCCAACAAACTGTTAGAGATTCACTCTGGGCACATAGAAACAGTCACCACCTCACACGAACACACACACACTCACACACACACACATGTATGACAATTTTTGCTTCCACTATTTTATAATGGTTACTGCTAGATTTCTCAAATCATTTGGCAAAGGGAAAACATATCTTTTGGTAAATAATAGGGATATTTTATTCACCAGTTTATTTTTTTCTTTTTATATTCAATAAACCTGTCAGAGTTATCAACAGGGTTGTGCAATTCATCGATGGAATTCTTATTCCAGCCCTGATTCTCAACATTGTCCTTGGGAGCAATTAGACAAAAGCTACCATGGCTACAAACAGGAATTACAATCTTGTCTGGTACACAACATACATATTCAGTCCACCACAAGATTTTGTCATCAATCCCAGTATCATAAGATTTTGGGAAACCTGAATTGATTCTATTGCAATGCTCCAGCTAAGGAGGGAAAGGAAAGTCATTATTACTCAACAAAGCTAGTGACTGAGTGAGAAGAAAAGACAGGAGAAGTGTGAATAGGGTGTGGGCTACAAGGTCATAAATAACATGGAAACTAATTTAGATGATCTGACATACTTTGCAAATATGAAGCTCTTAAATTGGACAGCATCTTTTTACATTTTGACATTTCAACCATTTTCTGGTTCATATAAAACTACATAAAATAAGTTGTTTATATTTTTCTAATCTTTAATAAATATTAACTATTGTTACCAAGTACATGCAATATTCTTAGAGTGGTGAATATCAGAATTTCGTTGAAAGCCTTATTTAGCAAAATGCAGTAAAATTTCATAATGCTTTGATTTTTAAGACTATTAAAGATACAGATCTAATATTTGATATTTATCAATAAATTTGATCAAGAAACACCTGTGAATTTTCCCAGACTTTTCCGAGAGGGTTACCTGTGGCTGTTGGTTGATATAATACAATGGCCAATACTATTCACAAAGGACTAAAATTTTTACATCTGAATTATACCTACAAAACGTCTTTCAAACATAAGCAAAGTATTTTACAAGATGTTTAGCTGTGTAATAACAGACCCCATCATATTATAACATTATAAATTAGTATGTGTGTTATACCCTGCCATTCATTAGAATAAACCACTTTGTGAGGGAAGACAAAAAAAATATATCTAAGAAACTGTTTAGTTTTAGTGAGAAAAAAATAGCATACATAATAAAAGATAAAAGAAGGTGATAATGCTCTTATGCATTTAATGTTTGCTTCAGTAAAATCTAAAACCTTTTTCAATTTCAAATCTTTTCATTTTATACTCTGTTAATTTAAAGAATGACCTACATTCGTACTTATAATTGTTATTGCAATATTTTGTTAAATTCATTTAACAATGCAATAAGGAATTTTCATGAGTATTTCATAGTTGTGGAACTCTTAAGGATCTTATTCAATCAAAAAATTTCAATAGGAAACCGTGAAATTTTCACAAGTACTGTTAATTCTGGAAGAATGTCCGAAATATCAAGGGGACATAACTTTGAGTCGAAAAACTACCATTTTCTTGACTGCATTAGTTCCAAGTTCCATAAGAAATCACATCTCATTTTTACCTGCTGTTGGATTATCATTCAATTTTTTTTTTTTTTTCTAATTACAGATCCATATTTTGTAATTTACCACTCCAAAACCAGGTTATGTACATCAACAGTGTATGAGGGAGCCAAAAAAGGAGACGGCATTGTTGACATGGAATTGACAAAACAACAGCCAGTCTGTAGTGACATAAAAATAGAATTTTTCAACAAACCTAAAATGATGAAAAAGGTATGGTGTGATATATGAAATATGTAAAGACAAATGTGTTTTTGCCATCTCTATAAATTTATGATGCTTTTTTTTCTTTTCTTTTTTCTTAGCAATCTGAAAAAAAAAATGATTATAAAATAAACATCCCCCTTCCTCATGGCTATGGGCAAAAAAGATAGGACAGACTGGACTGTGGTTCACAATCAGTCTAGGCGACCCAACAATATAGATTTTGGGCTGTACCCACTCATGAGAATGGCACTGAGGACAAATGTAGAGCTGGTGTTCCTAAAGCAATACAAATCTCTCACATGAATTGTTGCTACAAAAATTAATTGTATAATTTTCTATGTTCTTCTGAAGATCAGGTCAGGCCTGCTATTATTGGTAATATGTAACCCAGTACAACCTGTTGCATGGATGGATGGTTGGTTGGTGTCTAAACCAGCTTTTGGTGGTTCCAAATCAATGACTGCAAAAACATTCCCACTCTTAAATTTATCGGCAAATCATACAGATACATGCTGAGACTTCTCTCTAGCCAATAAAATGAACTAATTCTTGGTCACCTCCGCCATATTTTTCTTCCTTTTTGTCTTGAAGTCAGAACGCTATAACCATTTGACTGTATTCCTTTTGTGTATTAACACCATTCTTAAACTCTGAACTTTTTTGCCATACTTTTCTTTGTACATATATTGTTTGCTTAGTATTACTTTGCTCTGTTCTTTTTGCTATTGTTTATTGGAAACGTTTTCAATTCAATTTGTTAGGTATTTTTGTCAATTACATCATGGCCAATTACTCTACACATATCGCTCCAGGCCAGTTAAAGGTTGAATGAGTTAGGAGCCAACACCCATCATGCATGCATACATAATAAGGCTAGAATGGGGTCTCAAGCCTTGAATAGTAACCTTAGAAATGGATTCTTGATAAAAAACACTGTACTTGGTCTACTATGAGTGTCTAAGTTGGGCATCAGGAGGGACAATTTGGCCTTGTAAAACTTAACCTCAAATTATTATAAGTCTTAATATGTGGACAGGCAAACTGAGATCTTCTATCAGGCAGAACCCACCTTGCTTTGTGCAAGATTAATTCATCCTACCTTAACAAAACACACACACACATATATATATATATATATATATATATATATATATATATTTTAAATGATTGACTGGTTTTGATTAATGAGACCTCAGAAAAGGATGTCAGTAATTTGGGACAAACTTCAAAACAGTTAAAGGCTTCTTGTCAAGAGGAGACAACCTATCTAATCTCACTTTTGGTCTTTCTGCTTGAATTTTAGCTCAAGTTTCCAGTCTGGATTCTGAAAGTTCTGTTGACAGACAGCACCCATTCTTTGAAATGGCTTGCAATAAAGCCATTCTTCTTAATAGTACAACTTCCATCTTCTTGTTAAAAACATAAGTTGATATAAAAAAAAAACACCTAAATTTATCTTTTCTACCATTACCAAAATAATGCATTTGACATGGCATTAATGTTGCAGTAAATTGAAACAAAATAAAGCTGAGCTTCATAATTGGTATACCAGGTTGTAAATTTAATTAAAATTCAAGTGAATTTGAGATTAATTATTAATTCTTTACATAATAATAATAAAAATCCATTTCAATTAATTAATACTTCTTTTTAGTTGGTAATGTTTCTGCTGATAAATTACCAAAAATTATGGATAATCTTCATTCTTCTTACAAGAATATGGCTGAATAGTGCCTTTTAAGTGAAATCTTTGTTATAGATTCTCAAATCTGCTATGTTTCATATACAACTAGCCTTGCTTGATTGACAAGTTCTTTGTAGCCGAGTTGGTTAAATTACATTGGATCTAACAACAGTTTCCTCTGACTAAGGGGACACAGTTTCAAATCCTGCCAGAGAACGTATATTTTTTCAGTTTTTTCCTTTAATAAGATTTCTCAAATATTCAAACCAGCAGATGAAAATAAATAAATATACCATTTAATAAATAAATGGAGCATCTACTCAGATATGGGTATCCACAAAAAATAACATTTAAAGTGATAAAATCTGTTGGACTTTTAAATAAAAAATCTATTGTGTCTTTAGAAATTACTTTGTTTACGTTCGGATACAAAACTGAGCAGATCCGAAATTTTAAGAGTCTATGACTAGAAGAATCCGTCTTCCTCTAGCTATGGGTTAAATAGCAGGAAACTCCATCTTGTTCAAAGAAAACTCTAAATTTAAACCATATGCCACACACATTGTAGCAAAGTACTCCCATTCCCTTTGTATTTCGTTGGTAAGTTCCACTCAAGCAGCTCCTTCCCATGAACTGATGCTTTGTGGGATCAACTCCCAAGTGGATGCTCCTCCAATTACTAAAATATTAACCTGTTCAAGTTTAGGGTTAACTGTCACCTTCCCCACATATCTCCATAAACTATACCTCTTACTCTGCAACATTCTACCTCAAGTAGCTCAAGGGCCTTGTTACAGAGTGAACATCATGGTATAAAAAATTATGAAAAAAAGAAAAATCTTTTTGTAGAAGATCCTGTTTATACTCATGTACTGTCCTTAGGTGTTGACTTTATTACTCTATGAAAATAAAGCCCAACGAAAACTGTTTAGAGATTTTTGTGGAATGCTGTACACCATTCCTCAGTTATCAGAAGCATTTATTCCTTTAATCAAATTATCTGTGTGTAGGTTAACAGTTTAGTTTTAAACTGAGCTGAAATTGAAGAAGTGCTGATCAATAACGTATATGAGGTATCCTTAATTTATACTGTATATATTTATTATAAAGTTGTCTGGATCATTAAAGTAGAATGGTTCATGATTCCAAAGCTTGACTCAAAGTTTGATCTTCACCAGTTGGAACAAAAGGTCAAATTTTGAAAAAGATTGTGTCAATAAATGAGAAAATGACCATGAATACTCCTCCACAGGAGCAACTGCATAATATATTGAATTCTCCAAAGATACTTTCTTACTAAACGAAAATATTTAATGTCTTTATCAAAAAGTTGTTTAAAATATTTTTATTATGCTGTTTAGCAATTAATTTGAAAAATATATTAGAACTTTGTATTTGGAACAGTGGTAGAGATTTAACCCTTGCTTCCTGTTTAGGATTGAGTTTCCATTCTTTGTAAAGTCTACTTTAACTCTATACTTCTAACGTAATAGGAGTAGATAGATTTGCCTATCATCCAATTCACCCTCATCCCCTGTCTTGTTTCCTGTTTAGGATTGGGTTTCCAGTTCATTCTGAAGTCTTTCCCTTCTCTTTCACTTCTGGTGGCACCTTGTGTCGTGGTGACACTTGCTTGGGTTGGTGCCTTTTACTCTGTAACCATCTACCTCGAGTGGCTCTTGGGCCTTGTACAAGGTGAACATCATTCTAAAAAAAAAAAATATAATATGCCAACCTCTCTGCCGTTTATCTGTGAAATTGTCTTTCCAATTGATAGCTTTATTTTGTTTTTCAGGAAAAGATGTTCCATTTTTGGTTCAACACATTCTTTGTAAATACAACTGAAGAATGCTGGAAGAACTCCAAGGATAGGAATAATGGGGTAAAGGAAATGTGCTTGACACTCACATTCACAAAAAATGAAATCGACAAAGCCAACAAGGACAAGGCACACAAACTTTTTAGCCCAAATTTTAAAGTAAGTCCAGTTTGACATTATTTTTAAATCCTATTTAATGTAGCAAAAATATGAATATATGTTAACTAATAAAGAAATAAATCTCACAATAAAAAAAAAATTGATTGACTGGTTTTAATTAATGAGACAAGAAAAGGATATCAGTAATTTTGGACAAACTTCAGAAGAGCTCATGACTTGTTGCCAAGAGGAGACAACCTGTCTAATCCCACTTTTAGTCTTCCTGCTTGAACTTAAAATGGGTAAAATAAGGCTAAACCTGTAGTTCCCAATATGAGGCAATTTGATTATTAAGGGGAGCAGTTCAAGAATCAGTTATTTTCTAGTGAGTATGAGTATGTATGCAAGTTAATACATGTGGTGCATATACAGTATGCATACATAAAAATATTTGTGTATATGTATGTACATGTGTAACTACATATGTACTGTATATAATATTTTTTTAACAATTTCTTAGTAATTTTTTCCTTGGTACTTCAACTGCCCTTTCGTTCTTTTAATTTTATCTTTCATGGAATTCGTGTCCTTTGGAAGCTTGTTTAGACTAAATTAATGGCTTTTAGGCTTCCTCCACATGAATAGGAATTCACTTTTTGAATAATAAGAATTATATGTTACAAGAGGGTGGGGGCATCAGGATTTTAGAGATGCTTAGGTGGGGTATCCCCCCCCCAAAAAAAAATCCTAATGTGTACCATATTTCTCTATAAGGTGCAATTTCTTTAAAAAAATCCTCCAAAATCAACATGCATATTTCGGGTATTGACTCATACTTAGACAACACAGAATAAAATTTATCTGATTACAAATTAAAATAATACTAAAGTATATTTAAAAACTTACACACAAAAGTCATTTTTTTTCCTAGCACTAGCAAGAAATACAATGCAAGTTAAATGGTAGGGAATAAAGTACTTTTTTTTTCTGCTCACTTTTAGAGTTTTGGTAGCTTTATAATTTTCTCACGTTATTCATTTATTAGAACTGCCATTGAAAATTTTACATGGGTAACTACTTTCCTTTCAATAATACTTTGCCCAAACCTGCATCCTGAAAAGCAAGCCTTTTCAAGTGTAAATCCATGAGATTGATGGAGGCTTCAGAAAGTCTCTCTCTGGACTCCCTCCCCTTCCTAATGACATGTCCCTTCAAGACATAGGTGATCATGACTCTCCACAGGTTCTTTCTTTTTTTTTTTTTTTTTTTTTTTTTATCTTTGAATAGGCATGATTTCTTTGAAAAGATAGTGGAGTGGAATTCCATTGCTTTTTCCATGGTTTAAATTCAAAATAGTCCTCCTAGACACGAGCTTAAAGAGCCCAATCTATGCTGCTATTTAACCCATAGCTGAAGGGAGAAAACTAATTCCCAAGAGAATTAGTATAAAAATGAATAGAACCAACTAAGCTGGAATTTGAACTCTGCCTACTGATTTCACTTTCCATGCTGATAACCAATATGCTACCCCACACTTTCTGACCAATTGATTCATAAGAACGAAAAAAAAAATGTCAAAACTTATCTAAATGAATAATTTAAAACTGCTGAAGCCAGTGATTAATTTACATGTTCTGCACCCATTTTTTCTTTGAATAATTAAAGTGTAGTATCTGTAAGCAAATTAAAAACTAAAGAAGTATTTATTTATTTTCAAATTGTCTTGTAAAAGCCATTCACATTGTACCTGAGTCTATTAAATAAATCTTTTTCTTACTTTCAGGTGAAACTTTATTTTAGCCCTCACGACCAGAATTCACCACCTGAAACTGTTCCCATAAAAAGCAAAAGTACTGAGGATCTACCGTCCCACCAAATTAGCAAGGACCCCACAATAGACCAGCACACATTGAGCACAGTCCCCCAGAGTCGAAGCTTAGTCAGTAGTATGAACTCAATCAGCATTGATTACGTGGCACAAAGCACGTCATCGAGTGGGGTGGCTCCTAGTCACACGCCTAGCAACTCACTCAGTAGTAGTGGCGGACCTGGCAGTGATGGTATGTCCATTGCAGGCAGCACAGATGCTATGTCAGCTGAAAGTTTAAGTGACAGTGAGGTTATTGATGAGAATTTGTCAGATACAGAGAGTGATGATGAATGGGAAGGACTGGAGACAACACAGGTATGAGGCTTTCTACTCACCCCTAACAGCTTATGAAGAAAAAAAAAAACAAAGAATAAGGACTCACAAGTTCCTTGGCGAAATTGCCAAGAAAAATTGGAAAAAAAAAAAAAATTCTTACCACGAGTTAAGCAGGGTGAGACTTTGAATCTTCTATGGCATGCACTCGTTGGTTTTTTTTGTTTTTTGTTTTTTTTTTTTGCGGGGGGAGATGAGGACTCCAACCTTTTCTCTACAACATCAGGGATTCCCAAAACCCTATACTGTGGGTTGACTTGTAGTTGAATATAGTCATTTCACCACAGGCCATCCCCTTTTTTATATATATATTTTTTTTTAATCAAAAACTTTTTAAAAAAAAAAAAAAAAAAAAAAAAAAAAAGAGAAGATGGTGACAGACAATTGATAATGGATGATGAAAATATTAGTTTTTGCTATGAAAAGTTTTTTAAAATTATTCAGATGATAAAAAAAAAATTTATAAAATGTTGAGGGGAGAGGGAGAGAGAAGTTAAGAAAAGGATGTTGGACTTTTTTATTTTTGCATTATCAACTTTTCATTTTTGTTATATACAATGTTAGTAAATTATGTACAGATCTATATGATAGATATATATATATTCATCCTATGTCACCTTAGGGGACCTTTCTTTTTTTTTTTTTTTTTTTTCTTTCCTTTTTTTTATGTGAACAGGCAACACAGGAGAAAAGGAAATTGGGGTGGGGGGAATATAACACACTTATTCCAGTTCCAACACTGTCAGTGTCTAAAAGAAATAACATGCCAAGCTGTTGGGTTTAGGACTGTATATTTTCTCTCTCTCTCTCTCTTAGCAGTGTGCTTTCAGAACATTAATGGCTGAAAGTCTGACATGTCCATCCAAATTTGACTTATGTCCAATCTATGTTGATGCCAGAAAAAAAATAAAACTTTTGTCTGGGTATTGTCCAACCAAAATAAATTCATGAATTTCATCTTCTTTTCAAGGTTTCTATAAAGGGAGAAAGTTACATATTTTAATAAAAAGATATCTTACTCCTTTAAGTTTTAACAATTACCTTGTTATATACAGAAAAAAAAAGTAAAATTTTTATAATTTTTAGCTTAAGTTCTTATTTCCTTCTCTCTCTGCTTTTAACTTTATTTCTTAACATATATTTCTAAAATAAAGATGTGTTTGTGTTCATACAAACACAGAACTGAATGATTGGACATTGCCCAGCCATGATATTAACTGTTATTTCATACCCTACATTTTGATGACTATTAGAGGTCCAACTACAATGTGTGGGAGGATGTATGTAATGTATGACTGTATGTATATATGTTTTTACTGTGTGTCTCATTTTGCATGAAAGTGTATACATGTAAGAAGGGCTATCAGGCTTCAGCACAATTATTTTGCCAATGTCCAGTGAACCTGCAGCCAAGAACCTCCTCTTTATGTTATATAAATTGAAACTAAATATGGATTAGAATCTGACAGAATGATAAAATAAGAAACAAATAGAAAAACTTTTATAAATTTAACTTTTAATAAAGCTTCATCAGAAAATATTGGAAAATGAGTTATGGAAGGGAACATTGGAATACGCTCCTCCATGACTCATTTCTAATAGCAAATTTCTGATGAATTTTAAATAAAAACATTTTAAATTCATAAACATTTCCTGCTTGTTCCTTATTTTATCATTCACACTTAGACACACACACACACACACACACACACACATATATATATATATATATATATATATATATATATATATATATATATATATACTCAAATGAGAGAAAGAACAGATAGAGTAAAATTCCACTGTTCATAGCACTTACTTTTAAAAAGTGCTCAATACAAACTAGCACAATATATTATTATTTTTATCATAAGAAATTAAAACAAAAACATGTTGAAATGGCTTTTGTGTTTCAGGCGATGGTAAGTAACTGGTGATTAAATGACTTAAGAAAATGTAATTTTCTTAAAAATCATTTAATCACCAGTTACTTACCATCGCCTGAGAGGTACAACATAGTACAGAAACACAAAAGCCATTGTGCAGCGATTTCAACATGTTTTTGTTTTAATTTCTTATAATAAAAATGATATATATAAAATGGCCGTTGTACATCTCCAAATTATATCCAATTTTGTTTCAAAGAAAACAATGAGAAAAAGAAGTGGAGGGGATAAGGTTTTGTAACACTTCATTTCCCAAGTTTCTTCTATTTTTCTCCTTACCCATCTCCATTCTTAATTTTTCTTTTTACTTTTTCTCTCGGGGTTTCAGACTCTCCAACATGCATCTTCAAATGTTGCACAAGAATGAAGAATAGGTTTTTTTTTTATATTCTGTTTGTACCTAGTATGAAGCAATACATTTTTAAATATTATTTCAATTGAATTTCTCCAGTTTTGTAATGTTCTATTTAACCACCTAAAATTTCAGATAAAAGAACAAAATGAATAAAGACAAAAGCAAGACTTATCTTTGACGTGTTTCATCCTCTGATAAAATCTCTGAGGACAAAGCACATCAACTAAGATAAGTTTTCATTTGACTTATATATATATATATATATATATATATATATATATATATATATATAGGAAGTTCTAGAAATATTGCAAAAATGAAATTTTGGCAGTTTAATAAATAATACAAATTGGAGAGACTTCTAAACAATAAAATGATATAAAAAAAAAATAATGATGCATTCTTGAAGACATTACTGATTGATTCTAGAGCATGTACTCAAAGATGTGATAGAACTCAATATTGCTCACACACACTTTATTGAATTTAACTGACAAGCTTTGTTTAATCTTTACTTTTTTTCCGTTTAGTGTATAAGTAGTGATACTGATATGAACTTATACCCCAACTAGAAAAATATAAAAAATGAATATACAGACTTTGTCAATCAAATTCAGTAATAAACATTTAAATGAATTTTAATAGATTTTTGTTAAACATCCCAGTACTTACTATTCCAATATATAGAGCCTGTCCTAATCACTTCTCAGTTTGTGGTCTCTCTAAATGAAGCATTATGACCGCCAACCTCTCACTTCTTTCTTTTAAAGAAAAAAATTCACTTTAGAAAAATGTACAATGTCTTAATATGTTCAGAAGTGATAACTTTGATTACCTCCACTGAATATGCTTTATAAGAATTTGATTTAAAACAAAATATTCCACTTAATTTAAACATTATTTCTTTTTGTTTCTGGCCTTTCTGTTATGTATCTCATTTATGAAATGAAATATGAATGATAATCATTAATCCAAATCACAGATCAACACTCATCACATTGATCCCATTTATTGATGCACAACAGTTAAGGATTATTTAGTTTACCAGTTGGCATTAATAAGGATCTACTAAGCAATACTTCTATTTGGTGCATTGTGAGGTTAATCTTTTAGTTTTTTTTTACAATCCAAACATGTTGATCCATGAATATGTTTACTTTCTTTCTGCCTCTTTTGAAGCTTTTACCTTTCAAGTAGACCAATTATTGTTCATTCTTTCTCCTTTGTATATTTGTTGTTAACACAATATGTTTGTTGATCCATTCTTCAACCTTTGACAAGTATACTCTGTAAAAATAATGCAACTTTAAGAAAGAAATAGGAAAAGTAGTAAGGTCTCTTGGTTTCTTTTCCTCACTGAACACACTTCAAAATGGCTGAAGATTTACACGAGGAAAATGTTGTACTAACAACAAATATACAAAAGGAACATTCAATTATCTTAACAATATTGGGCATGCTAATGACTCTTCTCAAAGATAAATTTACAATCAAGTAACCTAATTAATACTTCATTATTATTGCAATTATTCATGTTGGCATACGATTGGCAGTTCACAGTAATGTCCATTTTTTGATCTTTCCAAAGGTAAAATTAAAGACAGGTGATTTTGCTGGCTAATCTGTATTCCAAAGGTGCATAATGGTTCCCCTTGGTGTAAAATATTTCTGCACTAGAATTTTCCCTTTGGTTGACTGACCCTTACACACAAATAAATATGGTTATATATTGCATGTGCTCTAACACACACACATATATATATATATATATATATATATATATATATATAGGGCCAGCTCTAGGGTTGCTGGCATCCTGGGCAAGCTGAACCTCAGCACCTGTACAAGTATAATTTTTTTTTTTAATTTTCACAAGACAAAAAGAATGAAAATGTAGAATAACAAGTTTATTACAACGTACAACTTAATACAAACTAAAGAAAACATTCATTATCCTATCTAAAACATTTTTTGTAGTCTTCAGTATAGAAAATCTTTTCATGGCAATTTCTACATTTATCTTCTTTATAAGATCAATTTTTATTGCAAAAGAATTTAATCTGTCTGGAGTCATGGATGACCACAAGTATGTTTTTATAAGCTTTAGTTTACTAAAGCTTTTCTCTCCAGTGGCCACAGTAATGGCTATAGTAAGCATTATTCTCAATACAACAAAAAGATTTGGTATGACATCTTGTAACTTATTAGTGTTTATGAACCTAACAACTTCTATTACATCTTTAGGAAATAATTCTTTTGCAATATTCAGTTCAGTCAAGACAGCACACTTTTGCTTGAAAGATCCCAAACACATGACATGGCAGCAGTTGCCAGTACTTTGAGTTGGCTATATATATATATATATATATATATATATATATATATATACACGCATACATGCACACACTATATGTGAAGCTTTCTAAATTAAAATATTCAAGAAATGGATTTTTATTTTTGTAGTTAGCAAAAAACAAAAAAAAAAAATTCTCTACCCACAATCTTGAATTTAAAAATAAAAGTATTTGATTTTGTTATAAGCAATGGCTTCACCTTCAGCTTTGGTCACTTCTGTAGTTTTGCAGAAGTTCTCATCATCCTGAATTTAAATTCTTTCTGGACAAATCTTAGAATCTTCTAGCATTCAAGTATCAAAATTACACACAACCAGGAATCACAAC